ATTCACTTAAGCTAATACTGAGTGTCTCATTTCTACAAAGTAAATCACAGTGGCTTTGTTACTTTATTTTCCATCTTGTGTATAAGTAAACTGCAGGATCAATTGGGAGGTAGAATCAATCTGCTATTTATTGCCTTGAAATGTGACACCCTATTTTAAGTGCCCTATTCCCTTATGGCTTCACTTGAGAACAGTATTATGTCCAAACAATATAGAAACCAGCTTTACAGCTCCTGGGTTTTTTTACTTCAGCCCCGATGGATTTACATTGTATACAACTTTCAGAACCTAAATAACTTACTTAGTGGATTTTGAAACAAGCATGTAAGGGAGGAAGAGTCCTTTGCTTTTTTTTTTTTTTTTTAAACTTTTTTGTCTTAAATCTTAGCAGAATGCATTCATGACCAGAGCATTTTTTTTAACTTGTTTTTTTTTTTTAAAGCAGTACGCCCATTGACCCACTGCTCGTAGCTTAACGTTCCAAAGAAAATAAATAAAAATCTCATGTCTAGGGAAAAGAGTTAGGCTTCATGGGGATTCTGTCATCTTGTCATTATACTTTGCAAAGAAACCTTGGTCTCTAATTTATGGGTTTCAGAAAGAATGCCTCCTCACACTGCTGGAAGGTTGAAAGGGCAAGAGATCTGATGTATATCAGGGAGGTTAAACCTAATCTCTGTGACCTGCCACCCGCCTTTCCTGATTAAAACATGAGTGACTGGGACCCAGCAAAGACCCCCTTCTCTAAAGCACTATCCATATCTTAGACCCTGATCTGAGTCCTCAGTCTTGGCTTATTTCAAAACACTCATTATTTGGCTTGCTGGTGACTACACCAAACGTCTCTACTAAGTGTGATAAAACATTTTTAAATGCCCCAAACTGAGTTAGATGAAATTGAAGGGAAACTGGCAGTAATGAAAGGCTGGTGACAAGCTTGATCCCCATAAATTTGGATTTTATTAGGGCTTAAACTTAAGGTTAACCAGGAAGCAAAGGAAATAAAGAGCCTACAACTTTAAAGGTGGTCTGAGAAAGATCGTGGCAGCATCTCATTATCTCCCTAGATAAGATGACAGCGGAAAGGTCTTCTTTTCTTTCTTTCCTTCTTTCTTTTCTTTCTCTCTCTCTCTCTTTCTCTTTCTTTCTTTCCTTCTTTCCTTCTTTTTTCTTTCTTTCTTTTCTTTCCTTCAGATCCTTCCTTCTGTTTTCTTTCTCTTTGTTTCTTTTCTTTCTTTTTTTGTTCTTTCCCTTCTTTCTTTCTTTTCTTTCTTTCCTTCTTTTCTTTTCTTTCTTTCTTCCTTCCTCCCTCCCTCCTTTCTTTCTTTTTCTTTCTTCTTTCTTTCTTTTCTTTCTTTTTTCCCTCTTTGTCTTTCTTCTTTCCTTCCTTTCTTTCTTCTTTCCTTATCTCCTTTTCTTTCTCTTTATAAATGTGTACACTTCATATGTGTCCTTTCTTAAATCTTTCAAGCTCAGCAGTGTCTGATATGGTATCCACCCAGGACTTCTTAGAAAATAAACTTAAAAAAAAAAAAAGATGATTTCTTCCTTTATAAAAGTAAATTAGTTAATATTAATTACACTGATAGTTCAGGATACAACTAATCTCAACTTCCCTTTATCCCTCATTAAGCCTGGACTGTATATTCTAAGCTTTTGGCATCATCTCCAGTGAATCGAAGCCGGTAGGACAAAGCATAAATAAAAATATCATTAATATATATGCTGTGATGAAAATTTAAGCTTGAGCACAATTGTGTGTGGGTATGAAAAAGTTCCTCCTCTCCTCTTCATTCCTTCAGGCCCTCAAAAACTTGTCTACAACAGTTAATATGTTCTTGGATTTATAGGAAAATTTATTATCTTAAAGATAAAATAAAATTTTACATTGTATACAGCCTAGGACAGACTTTGAGAATAAATGTAATTCTCTTAAATTATAAGGAACCATAACTTCTGGGTAGGTTCTTGTATCATCGCCATATAACCTTCAGTCAACCTGAAAATCACAAGGGACTTTTGATTCTAAACAATAAAGTTAGAGAGAGAATTATATCCAGAGGGACTAAATTCATAGGTTTACTTAAAGACAAATGGAGAGTGGGGGGTTGGGAGATGGACAGAAAAATAGACAGGAAAACTATTCAGTTCTTATCACAGTCAGCCAGTGTTAATTAAAACATCATTGCAAATGTATATCAGCAAGGAAATTTCTGCTAGCTCAGGAGGCAAGTGCCTATATAATCATAAAGATATCTTGGTTATTTATCTGCTGTTTGGATCTTATCCTTTGCCTCAATAAGCAAGTCCTATTTCACCCCCCTTCCCTGCCCTCATTTTATTACAGACCCTCTGTATATTCTACCATAAGGAGGAGGGAAACATATGGGCTGTTGTTTGAACTTCTGTAATGAATCCTTCCAATATACTATTTCCTTCAAAAGTTATTTTTAATTTTATTGCAGTCTGTTTGTGTATTCCCCCCCAACAGTCACTCGGACAATATTCGTATTGGGAAAATGGCTTTGGAGAGCTCTTGCCTTTGCAAATACTTCTGATTTATATGGCATGCCTAGGGTGAAGGGTGCTGTTGTGTGGCTGGGTCTCCCTGCCATGCTGGCGGCTTCCTTCAACAGAAGAGAGTCGGGTGGCTTCCTTCCCAGAGCCCTGGACTCCTCCCTGTTGTTGTTTTGATTTGTTTTCTTCTCAAAAAAAATTTGCCACTAATGATTCTCACTCTCTATCTGCCCAAATCCCCTTAACTCTTGTCCAATAAACATACCAGAGGTCTCAAGCTGATGGCCCATATGCCAGGTTTGGCCCACAGTTGGGTTTTGGTGGACATGCACAGTTGGAAAACATGCTCTAAAGAATCGGTTAATGTTTAAAAATTGGAAATTTTCATATACAAATCTAGGTTTATAGAATAGTTGATGGATTTTTCCCTGAACATGGAAACCGCTGTGTGAAGATATTTTTCTTGGAAGCTTAGGAGAACTGGCAATCTGTGTCCACCTTCCCATATGGCCGCCAAGTCCATTCTCCCCATAGGAAGGGATTCTAATGCAGGTCAGTTGTTCAGGCTGGTTGATTGCCATCACTGAGGCACCTGCCTGGCCCCCTCCTAGTTTCTGAATTTGGCACCCTGAAATAACCAGTTTTACAGACATGTTATCAGAAAGCTTGTTTTTGAATTGGCAGGAGGTTGAGCAATGGGTGTCTGAGTTTCAGTTTGTTTCATGCTTCCCTAGAAGTCACTGAAGACTTCTGACTCTTCTAGAAAAATGTTTAAGATCATGATAATTAGTAATAACTTACTCATCTTTGCCCTCCCCAACCCCAGCTATGGTGTCTAGTTTTATACTTTACATCTATTTTATGATTTGTTGAATGGATGAATGAGTGAATTAAACTCTTGTCCGAGGCTGACAAAGTTTACCCCTCATGGGTGCATGGAAATATATTACTTGCAGCTCCATTTTAGAATTGCATTCCACATCTTGGTCTAACGATGGCCATCAGAACTCCTTTCCATCTAGGACTCACTTCCCTGAAACCCCAGTGACAACCATAGAGATGGACCATAGGAGGCATGCCATTCATATTTGTTAAATAGATTCATTAATTCATGTAATTTCAAGAATAGTAGCTTTTACACTTGAACTCTTATGCACCGAGCACTGACCTAAGTACTTTATATAAATTAACTCAAAACTTTATTCACATTTTACAGGTGAGAAAACCAAGACTACTATTGCAGGTAGTAAAATTTGGAGCTGCCGTATGAACCCAGGCAATCTGACTAAATAGTTCACAATATTTTTTTGCTTTGTTTTGTGTTTGATTTTTAACTGAAGTATCCTTTTATTGGACTCAATAGTATACTGGCTATTCATGTTCCTAGGAGAGGCTATGCTTCCAAAAGCTTGATTTCACTTTCTGAAGCCAATTTAATCTTATGAGTAGAAAATCTATATCTACATAATGTGCTTCAAGTTTTAATTTCAAGTGGATTTTTGAGAGTTAGTGGACAGTAAGGGCGGGGATCACAGGATCTCAGAGCATCTGGCCCTTACAGGGTTGCTGTCTTTTAATATAAGTGAGCTTGACTTGGTAACAAATAGACCCAGTCATAAGAAATGGCTGAAATTTAATGGAAGTGTATTTTTTTCTCAGAGTTATGCGAGAACTCCTGGTGGAGGCAAGCAGCTCTCTTCCATGCAGATATTCAAGGATTCAGGCAGATGGAATCTCCTTCATCTTCAACATGTTGCCTGCAAGGATCTTATGGTTTCTCCATCTCATCCAGTCAGAAGCAAATAAAAGCATAGGCAAGCCCACAGAGGAGGATTTTATGGGCCAAACCTGGGAGTGACTCATCACATCCCTCCCCATAATCCATTGACTAGAATGTAATTATTTGGCCATACCTAACTTCAAGAGCATCTGGGAAATATGAGTTTGCTGGGTGCCCAGGAAGAATAAGGAAGAAGGACGTTGGTGGGCAACTATCAGTTTCTCACTTCTCTTGGTGCTAAAGAGCTTTGTACTAGGAAGATTTGCCCAGACTATCTGTTGCACAGTCAATCCTCAGAGCTTCTTGAAGCATGTAGAAAAGGTCTGAGGATTGGAAATTGAGTTAAAAGGTATTATTGGAAGACATTTTTATTATCAGCAGCATCTGCTGGAAAGTTTATACTCTGAACTCTAGAGAATAGTTTTATTTAGAGGATATTAGCAAATTTTTAAAGATAAGATGTAAACAAAGCTGAGAATACTATTTTCAAACTCTTTCCTTATATCCCAAGTTAACAGACAGCACTAGGGTCAATGCTAACATGATCAAGGGGTTAGTTTCTGTTTCCTTTTTAGGAGGTGGAGATTGCAGAATAAAATTTAACAAATTTGGCTTTTGAAATTAATAGTGCTTTCTTTGAGAAATTTTAAATTTTTGTTTATTTGCTTTATTTTCTTTTTTCATGGATGCCTTAATGATGAAGCAAGGAATGAAAGAGGACAAATCGTAGCAACTTGGTGAACTTGAAAATATATGTAGGTGGCACCCCTTCTTTGCTGGAAGCAGAAGCTAAACCCAAATGGAAAATATTTTGACTGAGCTGCAGCTTGGCATTTTCATGCCACTATTTAACTCCAGCAGAAGCATGGAAGACATCTCTAGCTTTTACAGTACACATTCTAAATACCATTTTCCACTGGAGAAATGGCTGATTCTGGGTGAGGAGAAAATTTGCAAGGCAAATGAGAATATCTTGTCATTCCAGATAACAAAGAAGATATAAAAGACTGCAATGCCAAAAGGACTCAAGAGCCAAAAGAACTCAGAAGATGCCCATGGGTCAAAAATGGAACAAGTGCAGCATTAAATTGAAAACAAGTACAGCAGATTAAAATACATCACATGTTCAAATCTTTGAGTTCAGAATGATACAAAAGCAACATATAAACAAACATATAAACAGCAGTAACAACAACAGTCTCAATGTTCATCTTTGGACATTGATAGAAAGCAAATTATTTTGGAAAATAGTAAAAAAAAAAAAAAAAAAATTAAATGATCTGTCCTGTATTTCATCTGTAAACTATTCATTGAGGTAACCAAATAGTTAATAGTAAAGGAAAATTTGTCTACATGGAAGTATTTCAATTTCTAGAACAAATGAAAAAGGAATGATAAAATTAGAACATTACCATTTAGTGGCCCCTAATGAGACAGTGGGTCTAGGCAAAAAATCTTCAATGGCTGTTGAGATCACAAAAAGAAAGACCCCAGATTTTAAGTGCCTGCTGTTGGAAAAATATGATTTTTCCTGAGAAGTAAGTTTGACAAAAAAAAATATTTATATTGAATCCGAATCAAGCCTCTAGAAATAACAACCAATCTACTGGAAATATAGAGAGAGCAGAGAAACGTTCAAAGACACCATGGGCACACAAACTACAAAATCCAAATTGTAGAAAACATCATAGGACAGACAATATGGTTTCTTCCACAAATACATTGCATGATAAAAAAGAGGAGTTTTAAGAGACTTAAAGAGCAATCAAATGCAATATTTGAATGTTTCATGGATCCTCATTTGAACAAATGGTTATTTATTTTTATGCTGCGTTTATGAGATAATTGGGGAAATGTGACCACTGACTGGATATTGGATGATATTAAAAATTATTGTTAACTTTAAATGCAATAATGGGATGTGTGTGTGTGTTTAATGAGTCCTTATATTTTACAGATACATGCTGAATTATTTATGGATGGAATTATATGTGCTTGGGATTTGCTTCAAAATAATTGGGGAATAGAAAAGAGTAAGAGTACCATATAGATAAAAGATTGGGCATGAATTTAAAATGAAAGAAAAATAAGAGAAAGGAAAAGAAATAACAGAGAGGTTAAGAGGGTAGACTCAGAGTCAAACCGCCTGGGATCAGATCTTCTTTCTATCATGACGAGCTGTGTGATCCCAGAACAAGGAGTTCAGAAAATTATCTAAGCTTGTGGTGACTTGGCTTCCTGATCTGTAAAATGGGCTCAATAGAGCAACCGCCTCATTAGGTTGTGCACATGAAGTGAGCTAATAGATGGAAAGTAATGGGTATATTTCTGACATAGAACAGTTAGCTCTCAGTAAGCACTTGCTATTATTGTAATTTTTATTCAATGGGCCTTTTAATTGCCCTGAAACTGATCGTGCCACTGGGTGCGTATCTGTGGTATCAGTGCAGGCATCCGTGATCTGACTTGGATGGAGACCCCCTTGGGCCAACTATGTACCAAAATCTCCTTCCTAGCCCAAGATGGCACACAAAGTCTAGGCCTTATTTCCAAGATAGTCTGCCATCTGGCTTCACAATGTTCCAGCTTGTCAATGCAATCTACTTCCAGAAAAACATCTTTTTCTTACCCATTTCTGTCTTCATGGCTTTGCTTTGATTAACATCTTTGGCCTAAAAGCTCCTTTCTTCCTTCTCTCCAAACCTTGTTCTTCCTGGATGCCTGCTCACATTCTTCCTGTTCAAGAAGTCCTTCCCCGAATTAAGATAGGATACTCTGCCCTCCTTCCCCTCTGAATGACAAGACATTTACTGCACATACCACACACGCTAGATTTTCAGTATATTCAGTGGTCTGCTGTGGCTCCAGCACTAGCTCTTTCATATTGGTCAGCAAGGGTCTGTCTATTGTGCAATCTCTTTCCAACTACCAAGTTCACTGATGCTACTTTGGTAGCTTGAAATTGGCCACGTTGGGAGTATTTACACCACAGCAAATATAACAAAACAGGGATTTCTTTTTCCCCTGTGAGCCCATTGTTAAAAGTTTACCAGCACACCACGAATTTTATCTACCCATAGCTACGAATCCATCTACCCATTTCTACATCTCTACTGTGCCTAGCATTGAGTATGGCACATAGTAGGTCCTCAACAATTGAATGAATGAATGCAGAATGCTATCATATATTTTTAATCTGTTTCCTCAAGTTTAAAACACCTTGAAAGCAGGAAATTTGTTACATTCTCCACAATGCCTAACCACCCTGGGCACATAATAGGTGGTGGATTAATTATGGAAAGGACTTAAATAACATCCTCCATTTTGAAGCAGAAAATCTACTTTTCTATTTCCTTATGGTTGACAGTACCCAGAGACTCAAAATCAAGATGTGAGGGACAGTTTTACTACTCTTTAAACAAAAAGCCTCTTTCAGAAGCATCTTTAAAATCTTTGAACATCTCAGTGAGGTTTCCTCTACTCCAAGCTGTGATCACCTTGGGGGATTTATGGTGAGATCCCCTTCTCATAATTGCAAAGCTGGACTTGGTGCACTGTCTCCCTGTAAAAGCCTTATCTGTTTTGGAGGGTTTATTAATCTTAGAAAATGGGAATGAAGCCAGAAGCAAGGGTTGCAGCTAAGGGCCAGGGGTCTCCTCCCTGTCCCTTTAGACTGGAGCACAGGCTGGCCAGCTTCAGCAAGGTGGGGGAAGGGCAGTTCTTTCACATAAGGCCTGTGTCCGGTCTAAACCCCAGACCTGGCCACACAGGGAAGCAGTGGGTGGCTGTCCCTTGAAGAGGCCATTTGCCTTTAATATTTCACATGAGAGATCTTTCTTTAATGTTTTCCTATGATGTATGGAATGTGCAGAGTTTATGAAAGAAACAATTAAGTGGGCGGAACCTGTAAATCAGGCTCATATTTAAAAGTATGCTCATTTACTGCTGTGCCATTATAATTCTTCTCCTCTCCCTGTCACCACCCTACCCCCTTCCAATCCCTGGGGCTTCTCAGAGGAACAGGGTTCCTGGTGCCAATGCCGCCTCCCAGGGAGCACAAGAAGGCAGCCCTTCCTGCTTCATGTGCCTGAGCTTTAGAAAGAGCCAGAGCCAAGCAGCTTCTGCAAAGCGTAAAGTTGTCTTGCCTGGTCCTGTCATCCTCATTGTCATAATCAGCCTCTGTACGTTTCCTTAAATATTTATAAATCTATTCGACTCCATGAGTTCATCAGATCTTCAAAATCTCCTCAAACTCTTGCACTGTAGACAGAGTTTTCAAAAGATTCTGGATGCTTTATAAAGATTAGGAGCCATTAGGGGTGGGGTCTTTCAATGTCCTTTATCTTCCAAAAGTGAGGCACTAGTGAAGTTATCTAACTTTGAGCTACAGTTTTGTCATTAGTTAAATAGCAAAATGATGGCCGGGCGCAGTGGCTCACGCCTGTAATCCCAGAACTTTGGGAGGCCGAGGTGGGTGGATCACCTGAGGTCGGGAGTTCGAGACCAGCCTGACCAACATGGAGAAACCCCGTCTCTACTAAAAAAAAAAAAATACAAAATTAGCTGGGCCTGGTGGCATATGCCTATAATCCCAGTTACTAGGGAGGCTGAGGCAGGAGAATTGCTTGAACCTGGGAGGCGGAGGTTGCAGTGAGCTGAGATCATGCCATTGCACTCCAACTTGGGCAACAAGAGTGAAACTCCGCCTCGAAAAAAAAAAAAAAAAAGCAAAATGGTGGAGAAAGGGCAGAATTATACTTTTCTTAGAGGGCAGTTAATGCATTTAAATGAAATCATGTGTTTACTCTTATAATTGGGATGAGTAATGGTCACCGCCATAATCAGGTTCAAAATCACAGTGGCTTAGCCAAATGGAAGTGGATTTCTCATTTACATGGACTCTAATGGAGACTTTGGTGGGCAGTTTCCATGTGGTGACTCAGGGATCCAGGCTAGTTTCATCTAGTTATTCCCACATACCCTAAGGCCTTGAAGTCCTCCATGGAACCGTTTGCAGATGAAGGGATGGAGGATGTGGAGGAGCATGGTGGTTAGGATCAAGCCTGAAGTTGTATACACCCCTCCCATCTGTATTCCATTTGCCAAATCAGTCACTTGGTTTCACCTAACTGCAGAAGAGCTGCCTGAGGAATGCTCCCTTACTACGTAGCCAGGGAGAGAATACAATGAGATTAAGTGAGGATGTCACATTGCTTCTGTTGCAGCATCCACAAAATGTTACTTCCTTCCCTTCCTATCTGCAGATGGCCAAGCAATAGCTCAGAGGAGTCCAGACAAATAACCCAAAATGACACAGCCAGAAAGTAGTGAACCTGGGACTCAAACTCAAGTCGTCTGACTGCTGGAGACTTCTACCTAGAGACTCTATGCACTATTCCAAGGAGGGTTAATTGATTCATTCATAAACTCTAATCTGTTGTCAGTGGGTGGGAAAGTGCTGGATTGAAAAAATTTGGAGGAAATGCTGTTATTGATTAGTAATGTCTGCTATGAGTTCAGAAAGAAGGAGTGGCATCACGCATGCCACAGACATGTCATTCTTGCTCTACTCTCTTCCTTACACCTTAAAAGTGCACATTTCCAGTGCCCCATTTCCTCAGAGCTCCTTTATAAAGTGCCCAAAGGTTTATAAGTCTGAATATAGCATACTTGCCTGGTTTTAGACTAGCACTGTAAATTGACCTTCTCATTCTTCACCTGAAAGTGTAATTAAAGCTGGATAACATCATGGACTGAGGCAGGCCAGCAAGGGAACCATAACCTATAACTGGGATTCACCCAAGATATTCACTTTCCTGCCTCCACACATCTGCCTGCATTGTGCTTTCTGGTTAGAATGCTCTTCTTATTATTGTTATCATCATCATCATTGTCATCATCATCATTATGATCATTATCATCATTTTACACTTCTCCACCTACCAATATCTGAATTGTTCTTCGAAGTCCAATTCAAATGCCAACTCTTCCTTCAGGAATTCTCCTTCAAGCCCATGAGAAAATCAATTAGTATTTCC